CGCAACCAGTTTTGTAAATGAAGGAAGGGAAATACACAGGGACAAGTCTGTGCTGACACGTCAAGAAAACACCAAACAATTCTTGGCTAGCGAGACTAATATGCCAAGTGGCTTTGGCACGGTGGAACCACTAAAGGTCAACAACACCTCTAGCTCTTTATTTCAATCCAAAAATGGACAAAATAGTCATCTGAGAGAGTTTACAGGAGGTGAATTACCTGAAATGGAGACAAAACCAAAGAACACACCTGAAAGTTTTAAGTTTCAGGATCAACGAATGCACTTGTTCATATTAAAATGTCAAAGTTTGACCCTCTCACGCTGCAACAGGCTACGGGCTTCTGTGCAAGACTGACAAATGAGAATATCAATCAGATGGCAAACTTTTCATCATGGAACAGTAATGGACACTGCACAATTTTGCCTCTTCTAGTTTCCTCCGGATTAAGCTTTCCAACTTGTCAAATGACTGAGCCTTTGCAACATGCCGAAAGTGTCAAGTCAAAGCTCAGTCTGTAAGAGATATGCTACATGTTACTGTACATGATTTGCTGAGAAGTGACTATGTACTTTTTTAAAATCTTACATTTCTTTCCACTAATGAGCCCTCACTCTGGAGGGATCAAAAATACTGTTGGTTGGACTGCGGGTTTGGTTTTTTGGGGGTTTTTTTGGGGGGTGGGGTTCTTTTTCCCTTGTGGCAACCGAAGCTTTTTCTTATCGATTTTAGACCACCAAGGGATCTTTAACGTGCGCTACTTGCACACGGGCCCGCTGAGATATTTCAGCCTTGTCTGAGAAGGCTAGATGTAGATCTTTCCTACCAGAAGATCAGGGTTGTGGCTGAAAGACAGCAGTAAGAAGGGGCCAAGAAGTAACAGTAGAAAGGCTGCAGAAAGTGGGAGGGGGCAAAGGAGGTGAAGGGGTGGGGGTAGAAAGAGGAGATGAAAGCTGACCACAGGCGTCATCACACGAAGGAAATTCATTGAAAATACTTTCTGAGTCTGAATTACAGCTGCTACTAAGAAAATTAAAACTTTCTAGAGGGATTGCAGCAGAGGAATCAAAGTTCTACCTACAGTTTCCATCTTCTACAATGGGTAAACAAATGGAGCCTCGACAGTTTCCATCTTCTACCATTTGTAAGGAAATGGAGCCTCAAGGCTTTGGGAATACAAGAATATTGTCAGATCAAGAACTTGCTTCTGTTTTGAAGAAAATTCCCCTTCAGACTGAGGAGGACAACTGGGTTAACGTGACTAGCCATCCCACCCAAGAAGTGAGGGCAACCGCAACCAGTTTTGTAAATGAAGGAAGGGAAATACACAGGGACAAGTCTGTGCTGACACGTCAAGAAAACACCAAACAATTCTTGGCTAGCGAGACTAATATGCCAAGTGGCTTTGGCACGGTGGAACCACTAAAGGTCAACAGCACCTCTAGCTCTTTATTTCAATCCAAAAATGGACAAAATAGTCATCTGAGAGAGTTTACAACAGGTGAATTACCTGAAATGGAGACAAAACCAAAGAACACACCTGAAAGTTTTAAGTTTCAGGATCAACGAATGCACTTGTTCATATTAAAAAGTCAAAGTTTGACCCTCTCACGCTGCAACAGGCTACGGGCTTCTGTGCAAGACTGACAAATGAGAATATCAATCAGATGGCAAACTTTTCATCATGGAACAGTAATGGACACTCCACAATTTTGCCTCCTCTAGTTTCCTCTGGATTAAGCTTTCCAACTTGTCAAATGACTGAGCCTTTGCAACATGCCGAAAGTGTCAAGTCAAAGCTCAGTCTGTAAGAGATATGCTACATGTTACTGTACATGATTTGCTGAGAAGTGACTATGTACTTTTTTTTAATCTTACATTTCTTTCCACTAATGAGCCCTCACTCTGGAGGGATCAAAAATACTGTTGGTTGGACTGCGGGTTTTGTTTGTTTGTTTGTTTGTTTTTTGGGATTGTTTTTTTGGGCGGGGTTATTTTTCCCTGGTGGCAACCGAAGCTTTCTCTTATCGATTTTAGACCACCAAGGGATCTTTAACGTGCGCTACTTGCACACGGGCCCACTGAGATTTTTCAGACTTGTCTGAGAAGGCTATATGTAGATCTTTCCTACCAGAAGATCAGGGTTGTGGCTGAAAGACAGCAGTAAGAAGGGGCCAAGAAGTAACAGTAGAAAGGCTGCAGAAAGTGTTAGGAGCCTAGAGGAGGGGGCAAAGGAGGTAAAGGGGTGGGGGTAGAAAGAGGAGATGAAAGCTGACCACAGGCGCCATCACACGAAGGAAATTCATTGAAAATACTTTCTGAGTCTGAATTACAGCTGCTACTAAGAAAATTAAAACTTTCTAGAGGGATTGCAGCAGAGGAATCAAAGTTCTACCTACAGTTTCCATCTTCTACAATGGGTAAACAAATGTAGCTCGACAGTTTCCATCTTCTACCATTTGTAAGGAAATGGAGCCTCAAGGCTTTGGGAATACAAGAATATTGTCAGATCAAGAACTTGCTTCTGTGTTGAAGAAAATTCCCCTTCAGACTGAGGAGGACAACTGGGTTAACGTGACTAGCCATCCCACCCAAGAAGTGAGGGCAACCGCAACCAGTTTTGTAAATGAAGGAAGGGAAATACACAGGGACAAGTCTGTGCTGACACGTCAAGAAAACACCAAACAATTCTTGGCTAGCGAGACTAATATGCCAAGTGGCTTTGGCACGGTGGAACCACTAAAGGTCAACAGCACCTCTAGCTCTTTATTTCAATCCAAAAAAATGGACAAAATAGTCATCTGAGAGAGTTAACAGGAGGTGAATTACCTGAAATGGAGACAAAACCAAAGAACACACCTGAAAGTTTTAAGTTTCAGGATCAACGAATGCACTTGTTCATATTAAAAAGTCAAAGTTTGACCCTCTCACGCTGCAACAGGCTACGGGCTTCTGTGCAAGACTGACAAATGAGAATATCAATCAGATGGCAAACTTTTCATCATGGAACAGTAATGGACACTCCACAATTTTGCCTCCTCTAGTTTCCTCTGGATTAAGCTTTCCAACTTGTCAAATGACTGAGCCTTTGCAACCTGCCGAAAGTGTCAAGTCAAAGCTCAGTCTGTAAGAGATATGCTACATGTTACTGTACATGATTTGCTGAGAAGTGACTATGTACTTTTTTAAAACCTTACATTTCTTTCCACTAATGAGCCCTCACTCTGGAGGGATCAAAAATACTGTTGGTTGGACTGCGGTTTTTGTTTTGCTTTGTTTTGTTTTGTTTTGTTTGTTTTTTTGTTGTTTTTTTTTGGGGGGGGGTGTATTTTTCCCTGGTGGCAACCGAAGCTTTCTCTTATCGATTTTAGACCACCAAGGGATCTTTAACGTGCGCTACTTGCACACGGGCCCACTGAGATTTTTCAGCCTTGTCTGAGAAGGCTATATGTAGATCTTTCCTACCAGAAGATCAGGGTTGTGGCTGAAAGACATCAGTAAGAAGGGGCCAAGAAGTAACAGTAGAAAGGCTGCAGAAAGTGTTAGGAGCCTAGAGGAGGGGGCAAAGGAGGTGAAGGGGTGGGGGTAGAAAGAGGAGATGAAAGCTGACCACAGGCGCCATCACACGAAGGAAATTCATTGAAAATACTTTCTGAGTCTGAATTACAGCTGCTACTAAGAAAATTAAAACTTTCTAGAGGGATTGCAGCAGAGGAATCAAAGTTCTACCTACAGTTTCCATTTTCTACAATGGGTAAACAAATGGAGCCTCGACAGTTTCCATCTTCTACCATTTGTAAGGAAATGGAGCCTCAAGGCTTTGGGAATACAAGAATATTGTCAGATCAAGAACTTGCTTCTGTGTTGAAGAAAATTCCCCTTCAGACTGAGGAGGACTACTGGGTTAACGTGACTAGCCATCCCACCCAAGAAGTGAGGGCAACCGCAACCAGTTTTGTAAATGAAGGAAGGGAAATACACAGGGACAAGTCTGTGCTGACACGTCAAGAAAACACCAAACAATTCTTGGCTAGCGAGACTAATATGCCAAGTGGCTTTGGCACGGTGGAACCACTTACTAAAGGTCAACAGCACCTCTAGCTCTTTATTTCAATCCAAAAATGGACAAAATAGTCATCTGAGAGAGTTTACAACAGGTGAAT